CGAGTGCATCCCACCAGCTGGGGAGCGATCGCGGCGCAGGACCCCCGGCTGGCCCGTCTGCCACACAAAACTCCAGCAAATTAGAAAAAAAAAAACAAACAACAAAACACAAAACAACTGCTTTACATCTTCTCTCAGATCTAACAATTTTTCCTCGTTCATTCCCAGCCCCTTCGTTTTTCTGGTTTTGCTTAAATTCAGAGAGTTGTGGGATTCCCCTTTCCCACGAGCGCCGGAGGTAAATCCTGACTGCAGTCGCTTCCGTCCCTCCGGAGCAGGACGGTGGGGAAGGGGGGTGTGTTTTGGAGTACATGAACCTACAGCGTACCCCGCTTGCCCTGTGCCCCTCCAGGCTGGGGCTGCCACCATGGCAGCACCCACAACAGCACAGGCGGGACCCAAAAGAGGCAATATCCAAAATTCACATAACCGTCAGGTTTCTAATTCCATCCAAAAAAGAGGAATTTTCTTGAATTCCCATTAAACATCCCAGGGAAGTTCATATTAAATTTACCAGCTATCAACCCTCCTTCGTCTTTTTCCCAGAGGGTCCCAGTCCCAGTTTGATCCCTCCTTTGGAAACACCCTCACTGGGAACAGAACTGGACTTGGGTCTCACTTTGCTCTGGGTTTTTCTTGCTGCAGGAAAATGTTTGCTCTCCCACCCTTTCGAGGCAGACGAGAAGGAAGCCGACTCCTGCCACCTTCCCAAGCAGCGACAGCGGAGAAAACCCCGAGTTTTGTTCTCCCAAGCTCAAGTGTTTGAACTCGAGCGGCGATTTAAGCAACAGAAATACCTCTCCGCGCCGGAAAGGGAGCACCTCGCCAGCGTGCTCAAGCTCACCTCCACGCAGGTGAAAATCTGGTTCCAAAATCGGAGGTACAAGTGCAAGAGGCAAAGGCAAGATAAATCCCTGGAGCTGGCTGCCCACCCGCTGCCCCCGCGCAGGGTGGCAGTGCCCGTGCTGGTCAGGGACGGCAAACCCTGTCTTGGGGGCTCCCAGCCTTACCCAGTCCCATACAGCATCACCGCCAGCCCTTACTCCTATAGCTCCTACTACAGTGCCTATAGCAGCAGCCTGTATGGTGCTGGCTATGGGGGGGGCTACACTGAGGTGCCCCCCAACGCCACCCCTGGCAGCCACGCCATGGATGTGAGCTTGGGCATGGCCAGCACTGCTCAGCACCAGCCCACGTGCTTGCAAGCCACTGTGCAAGCAGGAATCAGGGCTTGGTAGATGGTCATGGAGGTCAGGACCACCTGAAAAGTGCCGAGGAAAGCCCCCATCCACTCCAGAGCTCAGCCTTCGGCTAGACCGGAGCCGAATCCGGAGGTTTTCTGCCAGCCTGGACAGTGGGACATCTCCGGAGCATCCAACCCCTCCAGGCAGCTCGTGTGGCCACGTCTCTGCAAAGGCAGGTCAGCAGAGAGGGGGCTGCTGCCGCTCCAGCACCGTGACTTTGGGGACCCGAGGACTGAGAGCATTTATTTATTTAAACACAAACATTTCGGAGTCTGGCCCTTCCCGCTCCCAGAGGGTTTGATCTTCCAGGATGCCAGTGGACGGCCGGCAAGAGGGTCTGAACACTGGTTTTCTTCCTAAGGACAACCGGAAAACAGGGTCTGTGCACATCATTGTGCATTCACTTTTTTACAAACATTATTTAATGCTTTGAGTTCCTCTAATTGTTTCTGATTTATATTCTTAATATCTTCCAGCACAGGTGCTCATTTCTGTCTTTAATATTATTATTATTTGCAAATAAAAAACAAATGGGTGAAATTGTATTATTTTCCCTCTCTCACCATTCCTCAATTAGTATTTTGACTTTTCCCACCCACAATTTGCATTTGAGCATCAAAATCTGACTCAAAGAAAAAAAAAAACCACCCAAAATCAATCTTAATACTAATAATTAACCAAGAAAGATCATCACCAAACTTGGGCAGCTCCCAAGGTTTAACCCCTTCCCTAACTCTTGGCAAGTGTTTCCAGTTCTCGGTTGCTCTTTCCTTACTGGTACCAAGGGTTTGTGGGTACATTGTGGGGCAGCTGCGAGGGGCAACTCACAGGGTCACACGGGGGGTTGGTGCCATCTGAATTACACCAACGCCACCGGTGCTGAACCAAGAGGTGCAGGATTCCCAAACCAGGATCCGTCGGCACCACGCGCCTTGCCGGATCAAAGGACTGTGGATATTTACACATACATCTCTCCATCGAGGTATTTACGAAACGCAGGAGAGCTGGACGCCGTCACGGTGTCCCGGGGCAGATCAAAGGGGAGCACAGCCACATCCCGAGCAGGTGGCACAAATCCACGGCCTCACACTTATGGAATAAACCCAGTGAGACCTCCTTAGACCGACCCACTCCTGGGGCTGCCCATGGCCCCCCGGTGCAGCCCTGACTTGTATCGGGGAGGGGGGGAAAAACACCCAAAGGTCAATGTCCAATGCAAAATGTTGGGTTACAGAAACCTTTTCACTACAACACCAAAGTGATGGTGTTGTAACAACATCCACACAACTCCCACCGCACGGGACAGGCAAAATCTCCCCCTTGTAACCTCTGTCCCCGCTCCGGGATGCTGCTCCCTCCTCCCTGCTCCTTTCCCGACAGCCTCTTATCCTCCCAGCTTTTGGTGAAAAGTGACTTGCAGGAGGCAATTAAGCTTTTATCTCTAATCTCACTCAGCCCCATCACTCCCTTCCTGAACGGGACATCTCTGACATCCAAATCAAACCAGAAAAACCCTCCTGGCGAGAGAGCTTCCTCGCCGTCCCGCCGCTCCAAATCCTGGAAAGGACTGGGTACGGTGACAGCCGCGCTGGGTGCTGCCCCTTCTCCGCCCCTTCATCCATCCACACTCACTCGGGGTTATCAATCTCCCAAAATCAGCTGGGTCCTGAGTCTCTGTCCTGGCTTTGGAGCTGCCAGGGAACTCGATGGAATCTTTGCAATGGGAAATGCGGCTGATATCGGGGGAACAGCAGCATCACGGGCTCACCTGCAAGTCTTAACAACACTGAGAGATTTTCCTTGGAGGTTCGGCAATCAAGTGAGGCAAATCACATGAAACTCTCCCCAAATAAAGACCAAAATCAAAGGAGGGAATTGCTGCCCTCCCCAGCTCAGGAAAAACACCTGAAAATGGAAATCAGGAGCTCTGTAGGCATCATTTATGCCCCTCCGTGTGTTTTGGAGGGGCTTTCTGAAAGCCCAGTTCCCATGGCATCAGGGTACCCTGAAACCCCGGGTTTTTGCTGGATCCCTTCTGTCCTCTGCCTCTCTGCAGCACGTCAGGGCTGTTGCTTTACACCTGCTCTGTTTCCAGCCCAAATCAGAAATTACCTGTTACACCAACCACTATAAAAACAAGCTTTCCCAAACACACTCATGTACACAAATCAGCTCACATTGCCCCAAAACTCCTGTCCTGGGCCAAAACTCCCATCCTGGGCCAATTGGCTCTCAAGTTGGGCACAGGGTTGCCCCAGGGAGTGGCATGGCTCTCTGCCCCAAGAGAGCATCCCTGCGCAGCGCTCTGCTCCAGCTCACACCAACATGCCTTCGGGCAAGCCCTGCTCCTGCCAGCCAACCCACCGGTGCCCCTCGGGGCTCCCCTTCCATCCCAAGCCCCCGCCTCGGGCAGCACAGTGGGATCCATGTTAAGGGCTGGTGTGGGCAGGGAGCCATGGGGCATCGCACCCACCACGGCAGCACCTTGTGCCAGCTCCTCATCTGCTCTCCAGAAGTGCAGCTGGGGGGGTTAGAGGGCCAGCAGCTGGGGCATGGCTCCAACAATACCCTTTGGCTCCAATTTCTTCATAAATCTTTCCAGATTCCATTTCTTAGACTATAGGAGGTTAACGAGGCTGAATTATTGAAGCCACTGAAGTTTTCCAATACTGTGGATATAGGGGGACATTTTCTAAATCGGGAGCATCAGCAGATTAAAGGCCGAGAGAAAAGGGCAGGCTAAGAGTAGAATTTCGGGCACGTCTGCACAACCTGCTCTGGGCTCTGGGCTGCCGTGACCAAACACCCTCCTAAAAAATCAACAAAGTCCTCAGGGGATGTCAAGGAAATCTATTGTTTCCCTTTATAAGGTTAAAAAACCCACACCTGGGCTCTTTGGCTGAAGATGAGGAGTTGGGTTTGAGTAAAGGCTTGAGTAAGTTTTGAGTAAAGGCTCAAAGTAAGGTTTGAGTAAAGTTTAGGAATAGAAGAGGTGATCAGCACTACATTATTCCAACAGCAAAAGGGGTCTGCGGACAACAGGGCTATAGGGGGGTCACTGTATATATACATACATTGCTCTGGGGATGCCTGCAGTTCCCAGGGATGCTGCTCACCCACATCCAAGGAGCCGAATCCTGCTCCCACAGGGGCTTCCTCGCCAGATTGCATTACCTTATGATGGGGCAAGGTGATTTTTTTAATCATGTGCTGCCCACATCTGGGGGGGTTTGCAGCTGTTTGTGCGGTGAGTGGGGAGTTGTTTTCCAAACAGAAACTCTAGAAGAACAACTACAAATAAAGTGGATACTCAAAAAAAAAAAAATCTGTTATAACAGAGAGCTCAACTCATGGGTTTTTTTGGAATGGGGAAGGTTTTGCTCCTTTCGGATGCCTTTGAACACAGGGACTTGCAGGACGGTGTATAAAGGCACTAAGGCTTCTTAAATAAATGCTGTCCCATTCCACAGCTGGTCGAGGAATTAGTCTGAGATTTAGGCTTAAATTTCCATGTGAATCCTCTCCTTTCCGTGCAAGCGTTTGTCTCTGGAGCCACTCTCGCTGCCTGCTATATCTTCACTTTCATGGTAAAGCTCCCATCACAGCAGCTTTGCAAAGCCAATGAAAATGCCTTTGACATTTTTCTCTGTTTTCCAACAAACTGAAAGCGCATCAACATGGAAGGTTTGGATACAAACCCCTCAAATCCTTCAAAATACAAAAAACCTCCAACAATTTCATTTTCTTCCCTTTTTTCCCCCCTGAAGGGGTGGGGTGAGGAGCAGCAAAGCCCTTGGCTCCGTGTCGGCACCGAAAACATCCCTCTGCTCTCACCAGCGCTGCTTTCGGCACAAATCCAAACCATCGCCCTGCCGTAGCTACTATGAAGAAAATTAATTCTATCCCAGCCAAAACCAGCACACTTTGCCAGCAAAGAAGCAACGGGGGGAAAAAAAGGAGGAGGCTGAGGTTTGGCTCTGACCCCACAGACCCGGAGGGAAGGGCATCCAGAGCAAGAGGGAGAAGCAAGCAGCCGGAAAACCCGCGGGAGCCGAGGCACAAGTGAAGGGCGTAGACTCCTGCCAGGGATCTCCAATCAGGCCTGGGAGGTTTGGCTGCCTGCCGTATAAACGCAGAGCCCGGAGTGTGGGAAGGCGGCGGGAGTCTGGGCAGGGAGAGGAAGAAGAGGAGGAGGAGGAGTGCCGGGGTGCTCCCGGCAAGGAGACAGACAGCCCCCCGCAGCATCCCAGCCGGGATGAGCCAGACCCCGGCGGCAGTCCAGCAGACCGTGCCCGTCCCCTCCAGACCCCGGACATCCTTCCTCATCCAAGACATCCTCTGGGATGGAGGAGAGCGGGGAGCGCAGTCGGAGTGGGGCAAGAGCGGAGGGTTTGGCAGCCCGGAGGATGGGGAGCCGGGGATGGCCACGGTGGAGGGCAGCGAGGGCAGCTCAGCCCTGGGGGCTGCCCCACGGCATCCCCCCAGGAGCCCTCATCCCCCAGGAGCATCCCCAGCCCCAGGGACACTCCACGAGACGGACGCAGGTAAGGGGGTGGAAGCTCCTGGCTGAGCTCCATGGCCGGGGAACGGATCAGTCGTGTCCACATTGGGTTGAGCAAGGGGCAGGATCCAGACCCGGCTGTGTCGGGCACCCCGGAGCCGAACAGCCCGGGCTTTACACAGCAGGGAGGATCCGTGCTCCGGCAGCAGGGAAGTGAGAGAAAACGCCAACTGCGTGCAAACCTTTTGCCAGGTGCTTCAAATAACTCAAAGGTCTGAATGTGCCTAAAGCACCATTGAAAAAAAGTCCCCAGTGGATGGATTTTCTGCCATATCCTGGGAAATAAAGTTCCCTTTTAATGCAGGAGGTCCCCAGCGAGGGCACCTCAGGGCTGCTGGCTCAGAGAGGCGGTTTGTGCCCGTCCTCCACACGATGCCACCGCAGCTGAGCTCCTCGGTGCCTCCGCTCCGGGGATATTTTGGAAGTCCCCGTG